ATACTGTAAACTTGAATGTTGAAGAGAGAAACGGTTAACTGCAGTAGTATACAAAAGCTAACGGTAAACATTTTTCATCACTCATTATGCTTGTCTAATGTTAATTCCAACATGTACTGATGTATTAAACAATAATAGTATTACTTATAAATATTGTGCATTAAATTAAATAATTGTTTTTCTACTTTTGTCTTTAGGAAAGCCATCATCTGTAATGTAAGACACCCTGTAGCACTCACTGTCTTAGAAGGACAGCTGGTTGTCCTGCAGTGCCAAACCACATGTGACCCTATGAACACCCAAATGTGTTTGAGAACCTGAGGATGAAATGCAATCTAAAGCTGCTCATGGCCAGCCTGCTGCTTTTGATATTGATCACATATTAATAAATTTGCTGGAAACAGTTGAAAGCGAGAGGATGTCTTTTGTTTATATGCAGTACTGGTCAAATGTCTGGACGCGTTACTGTTTTTAATGTTTTTGAAAGAAGTCTCTTGTGCTCATCAAGCCTCCATGTATTTGATCAAAAAGACAAAATCAGTAATATTGTGAAATATTAATACAATTTAAAATAATGCTTTTCTGTTTTAATCTTTATATTTATTTCTGTGATGCAAAGCTGAATTTTCATCAGCCTGCTCTAGTTTACTCCAGTCTTAAGCGTCACATGATCCTTCAGAGATAATTTTAATGTGCTGATTTGATACTTGGTTATTGTCAGTGTTGGAAGCAATTGTGCGGCTTAATATTTTTTCTGGAACCTGTGATACTTTATACAGGATTGATTGATTGAATCCTGGCAGGGTTTTTCAAAATATAGAAATCTTTCCTAATAGTATGTCTTTATCACTTTTTTTTAATCAATTTAACATCCTTGCTGAATAAATGTAAAAATAAAAAACATTTCTATTTTAAATAAATGCTGTTCAAAAAATCCTAAAATTATGTCAGAAATATTAAGCAGCACAACAGTTTCCAACATTGATAATAAATCAGCATATTATACTGATTTCTGAAGATCATGTGACACTGAAGACTGGAGTAATGATGCTGAAAATTCAGCTTTGATCACAGGAATAAATTACATTTTAAAGCATATTAACCTGTTTAATCCCAATTTTTTTCTCAGACATGAAAATATCCAAATGATGTTCCATTAGTAATCCTTTGACATATCAATAATTTTTTTTTGGAAAAGTGTTTACTCATTCTATGACCACACTCAACAAAACTGAATATATGCGAATTCATATATTAATACTAGACACCCTAAAGATAATGTGTACCAGAAGTCTTTGTCATATCTTTGTTAACATACTTTTAATTGAGACTATTTATTTTTCTCCATATTTGCAGGAAGTGCACTAAAACATCAGTAAGTTTTTTTTAGAGCTTTATAAATGAAAACCTTTTTTTTCAGTCGCTATTGTGACCGGTGGGATTAAATTGGATAAAATAGTAAACCATTATTTTAAATTATAATAATATTTCAAAGTTTTTGTCTGTATATTTGATCAATTAAAGGAGGCTTGATGAGCATAGGAGAATTCTTTCAAAAACATTAAAAATAGTAATAGTGCCCACACTTTTGACCAGTACTTCTGTACGTGTATGAGCGTTTACAGTAAATGTGCATAAAAAAAAAACATGCATACCCACATATATATATATATATATATATATACTGTATGTAGTGTGTGTGCGCATTTATTAATCTGCATGTAGGCTATACTTTTATCTTAAACCACTAATACAGGTTTATGCGCTGTACAATATATATACAGATATACAGACTGACCCAGCAATGATAAGTACGTAAGTAGGGCTGTGTGATATGGAAAAAAAATCGTGATTTCTTTGATCAATTTTGCGATTTCGATTTTAATCACGATTTTGACACACACAGACATGCTTTACAGTCATTAATGCATTCAGTGTGAATTTGAAACTTATTTCCAAAAGAAAACCAATTTGAGCTTTATCAAAAAGCTGTAACATGTCTCTGGAACAGACATAAGGCAAAATAATCACTAAGTAAAGGTGTAACAAAATGTCTCTAGAATAGACATTTATGGCAGAAAAAGAAAAAAAATCCCGTGTCCAGGGATTTAGTTTTTTTGCCATGCATTGGTCATAGAGCTCTTTGTGGCGTTGCCTGACTGTGAAACAGTAGATTTTAATTATATGCATTTATGCTGTTATTACAAAATTTCCGTGTCAATCTATGTTCATTTTTACCGCGAATAATGCGCTGTCACTTTAGTTCAGAGTGTATAGCACAAAACGATCGCAGCATGACTGCTGCAGACGCACCGCTCCTAGAGCGCACTGCCGGACCGCGATCGCGTGCAGTGTGAACGCTCTGATCCGTTAACATGGGTGCGGAAAAAATACGCACCACAGACGGAGTGGGTGAACCTGGCATTACGTTTGTAGGCCCGCCCGGTCTGTTCTGTTCTTGTGCTCCATTTAGGCGCGCTGCATTCTGATTGGTTTGGATAGCATACTGAGGTCAGGGGCGCGGAAAATCGTGCTATAAAGCAATTTAGAAATCGCGATTTTATGACGATTTCGATTAATCGCACAGCCCTATACGTAAGTGACACTGTTTGTCTTTCTTCAGTTTAACCAAACATAAGACTGATGTCATCTATTGTATGAACAAATGATCCCAGCCTTTCCGCTAAGGAGTTAATTGCATCTAGACTACGATATGCATTTACCGCCATCTCTCGTGTACACACACCGCAGCATCAATCAGAGCCGCTTTGAGCCATCCGGAAAACTACTTTTAATGTTCTTTGTAAGTTTGCACCTCAGTCATATTTAAAGGGTAATTACAATCACCATTTATTAATTTTTTTTTTTAATACCGCAACTGTTGCGTTTTCGCTAGACTTAAAAAGTACACGATTGTTTTGACAGATCTGAGATTTAAAAATGGCACTACCAGAAATGCTTCAGGACCAGACATACGCAGTAGCGTTCCATCGCCTTTGCTATTGTTTACATCTTTGAAATGGTCTGTACTGAACCTTGTCTTTTCATTTCTACTCCGAGTGAGTTGACGCAGACACCAAGATTCTTATGTTTTAAAATGAAAACTAATTCAGGTGATTTTTTTTTTTCCAGGTGCTTGTGGTTCATGCTCGAGGTGTTGATGACAAAGAATGAGAATAACAGTCACTCGTTCCTGAGGAAGATGGTAGAGAACATCAAACAAACAAAAGATGCTCAGGCCCCAGATGACCCAAAGGCAAATGAGGTTTGTCACCATTAACCTGTCCTACATAATGTTTGTATTTCTGAATCCCAGTGTTTTTTACTCTTGTTCTCATGTATTTACAGAAACTTTACGAGCTATTTTCCCTCAAATTCAGGAGGATGGTTTGCACATTTATTTACATGACATTTGTGAATATAGTCAACGCTAAATTGTGTGACACAAAAGGATTTTTAGAAATTAAGGTTTAAAGAAAAGAAATGGGGAGAATCAATAAATTATGAATGATTTACTTGCCATTGTGTGAATAATATGCAATCATGTAATCCATAAAAAGTAACTAATCTGATTATGAGCTTTTTCAAATGTAATAATGCAAGTACTTAATGTTTGGAAACTGAGTACGCAATCCAGATTAGTTACTACCCAGCACTGGTCACCATTAACCTGTTATGCATATTGTTTATGTATTTGTGAATTCCAGTGTGCTTTACTCTATTTTCATGTGTTTACAGAAACTTTACATTGTGTGTGATGTGGCATTATTTGTGATCGCGAACAAGAGCACTTCATGTCATCTGGACTCCCCGAAAGATCCTGTGCTGCCTAGCAATTTCTTTACACCACCTGATAAGGTAACAACCACTCTGACTGTCCGCAGTGACACTTTTCATGTGACCTTACTATCAAACTCATTCTGTCTGTCCCTCTCTACAGGATTTTATCAATGATAAGGAATATCTGTCACCAGAAGCTAAATTAGTTCTGCAGACAGGGAAAATCCAGGTAGGTTTTGTCACCTCTGCGACTTTACGTGAATAATATCCTGATTAATTTCAAGAAATGATGAGTACAGTTTAGCTGCTATATATTTTCTGCAATTAAATGATTGTACAGTTTGTAGTAGAAGGCCAGTTCCAAATTAAATAAAAAAATGCAATATATAAAACAAAGAAATAGGGTCAGTAAGAACATAATTTCTTTGTAATCTTTTATAACAATATAAAGGCCCTTACTGTCACTTTTGATCAATTTAATGTGAATAGAGCTGTATACAGTATATATATATATATATAACACTGATAATCAGAAATGTTTCTTGAGCAGCATTATAATGATTTCTGAAGATCATGTGACACTAAAGACTGGAGTAATGATGCTGAAAATACAGCTTTGATCACAGAAATAAATTACAGTTTAAAATATTACAATTTAAAATAATTTATATTTTAATGTAATTCAGAATATGACTCTTTACTGTATTATTGATCGTTTGTAGTAGAAGGCCAGTTCCAAATTAAATAAAAAAATGCAATATATAAAACAAAGAAATAGGGTCAGTAAGAACATAATTTCTTTGTAATCTTTTATAACAATATAAAGGCCCTTACTGTTACTTAATGTGAATAGAGCTGTATACAGTATATATATATATATATAACACTGATAATCAGAAATGTTTCTTGAGCAGCATTATACTGATTTCTGAAGATCATGTGACACTAAAGACTGGAGTAATGATGCTGAAAATTCAGCTTTGATCACAGAAATATATTACAGTTTAAAATATTACAATTTAAAATAATTTATATTTTAATGTAATTCAGAATATGACTCTTTACTGTATTATTGATCAAATAAATGCAGCCTTGGTGAGCAGACTTTCAAAAACATTTTTTAAAAATCTTACCCACTTTGAACAGTGGTGTTATAATTTACAGAATTAGTGATTGCAATTTTTTTATGACATTAAAAGTTTAGAACATGAATTTATAATCTCCAAATAAATATATTTTAGGTTCAGCACACAAAAAAAGTTGAGTGTGTTCAATGTCAAAGTGTTGGAAGTTATATTGCACGCAGGAATCGATGACATATCAATATTTTTTTGTTGGAAATATACATCACACATACTTATTAATATATTTCAGCAACCACCAAAGCAGACAGGCGTGCTGGGGGCAGTGAACAAACCTTTAACGGTAACAGTTCGCCGACCGTACATTAAAACCACCACCTCTGACACTGGAAGCAATGCAAGCACCAACTCCCAACCCAACTCGCCTGCGACAAATAAGAGCAGGTTAGTGCTTTTCAGAATTTCTTTACTTTTCTTTCACTGATGTGGACTTTATCCAGTGTTCCACACAAATTGACTTATTTTTGTAATCGTCATAATGGATTTAGTTTTGTCATAAAGCATTGTTGCAGCCCTAATTTGGTCCTTTTTTTTTCATAAAGGGATGTGAGTTCTGAGGCCTCAGAGACGGGGGCGAGAGAGAACGAAGAGAATCCAGTCATCACAAAAGCAGGAGGTGTAAAGAAGGTCAGATATATCTCATGTGAACATAGGGCAGGGCGATAATTCGATAACAATAATTATCGCGATATAATTTTCCTTGATAAAACGGTATGAAGAGTTCGATATGATTATGCGCCAAAAGCGGAACGAAACCGCACGACTCATTTGAATCGCACCACACGGACTGTTTATCCACTCGGATCAAAGTTCAAACTGCGCGGCGCGAGCAGATCTGTAGTTTAATTGGAAATGAATCTGTCTCTGTAAGTTACTAGTTGGGCCTGAATTTGACACTGCATTTCAATGAATGCCTTCACACCAGTTCTAAAAACTACAGTTCTGATTTGTTTTCCCATATGCTAAAAAGAACTCAAAACCTGTAATATTTAATTGTTGGGTGGTGTGTTTTTTTTTAGAGTATAGACTATAGAGTTAGAGATATGCCGCTATAAAATGGCCCTGGTCAAAACAGCGTTCCAGCCATGCTAAGAGGAATGATTATTTAGTAGTATATAATTATAGTTATTAGCATAATTATAATTTTTAGTATATAACAAAATAACTATTATTATTAGCAGCCTGTTACTCACAGGACACTATAATTTTCATTATACTTTGTTATACACTGCCATTCAAAAGTTTTTTTTTTGAGAAATTAATGCTTTTATTCAGCAAGTATGCATTACATTACAGACTGTTGCGTTTTTATAAAAATTCTAAATTCTAATGAAAATTTGGTTTCAAATGAATGCTGTTCTTTTGAACTTTAATCAAAGACTCCTGAAAAAGTGTAATGCAATTTACTACTTTAATACTAAAAAGCCGTACAACTTTGATTGTGAACACTAAATGTTTCTTAAATAGAAAGAAATATTTCTAAAATGCATGAAAATAGAAAACCGCAATTAACAGTTTTTACTGTATTTTGGATTAAATAAATGCGATCTTGGTGAGCAGAAGAGACCGACCCCGAATTTGACACGGTGGTGTATGACTATATCCTGCTATTTTTTGCCATTCAAGGAGAATGACATTTATTGCATTTTTATTATAGTATAAATTTTATTTTGTTAATGTATGTGAATTGGAGTCTCATGCTCAGTATGAGTTAAAGTAAAAAAAAATAAAAATACAGTAAAAATAGGAATATTGTGATATTTTTTAGGGCTGTCAATTTAACACGTTAACTTAATTACAAACGCACTATTTTAACGCACTGGCTCCGTCCCAGATATGTCTGTCATCTTACATTTCAAACAGTTGACTGTTGCAGGGCAACAATTCGCTGCACGAATGTAGTCCATAAATGCCCCTAAAATTCAAGATATTGGGGCAAAAAATGCCCGTATGAGTTTTTGTCTCATATTTTTATCAAATGATGTAGTTATATAGTATAAAATTAGATAATAAAATATAACAAAATTTAATTGATTGACAGCCTTTTACGATTTATCAGAACTGTTTTCTATTTTAATGTTTTAAAAAGTAATTTATTCCTGTGATGGCCAAGCTGAGTTTTCACCAGGCTTCAGTGTCACATGATCCTTCAGAAATCATTGGGATTTTTGGGACATTTGTCAGTGCTCTGCATTTACCCATCCAAAGTGCACACACACACACACACAAACCGTGAACACACACCTGGAGCAGTGGGCAGTCATTTATGCTGCGGCGCCCGGGAAGTGCCTTGCTCAAGGGCACCTCAGTCGTGGTATTGAAGGTGGGAGAGAGCGCTGTACATTCACTCCCCCCACCTACAATCCCTGCCGGTACGAGACTCGAACCCACAACCTTTGGGTTACGAGTCCGACTCTCTAACCATTAGGCCACGACTTCCCCTGGTTGTGCTGATTAACAATTGTTAATAATAAACCATGATACAATTTAAATAAATCTTTTGTTCTTGTCACTTTTGATCAATTTATTGCATCCTTGCTGTTGCTGATATTTGCTGACCCCATTTTTTCTCAATTTCTCCTGTTACGTTTCACAGAAAAAAATTGTCAAATGTAAAAATAAAAATGGTACACTGGTTTGGAATGGCATTTAGGTTAAAAACTGACTTTTTTTTTTTTTTTCAAGGTGTCGTCTTTGCAATTTTCCACATTTTTCTCGAGAATAAATTTAAATATTGAAAAGTTTACTGTAGGATTCCACCAGACCTGGTCTCACCCGTGTCACACTGCTATAATGTAGATTGATTGATTTATATATTGTCTTCTGGTTTCAGGTAAAGCGTCGGTGCGTGAAGACAAGGACGGTCAGGCAGTAAAGGATTGAGACCTCAAACGCTCTTCATGAACCTGAACTGTCATTAGCTCACACCTCAAGACGAACGAGGATTCTTTAGATTCAGATGTGCAAACTTGTATGTAGAAACACAGACCTGTTTCTCTTCATTCGTTTTTTCTTTTGTGTTGAAATTGTTCTTGTTGCCTCTCTGTCCGAAGCCATTTTTAAAAACAAATATTTGAAAGAAAAAAAATCTGTTTTAATCTACCCTAAGGTTGCTTAAATACCTAGAAAGATTTTTTTACTGTTTTAACTCCCTCTTCTTTTAATCCTCTATTAAATTGAAATATTGTCCTCAGATTTCTTTGGTTGCAAGGATTCATTGAGGCTCATGTCCTGTATTCAATTAGTTTAACTCTATAAAGTGCCAAGACTACAAGACTCTATGATTAGTAATTCTATTTATTCTGTTGAGTGGATGAGCATGAGTTCCTCACACTTTTACAAGGGACTCCCTGTATTTGCTATGTGGAATTTGTGTTAGGATCCGTTTTTTATATTGAGAAACATTGAGTTATAAATGTTCACATTTAAATAGAAAAAGCTGTTCGATTTCCTTTTTCCCCAAGTGATTAACATGCGTTCACTTAAGATGTCGTACCAGCGGCAGAACAGAGATTCACAGATAACAAGTTTACATTTTTCACTTTTTTTAATTCAAAAGAATGAGTTTCACAATAAATAACCATGCTTGTACGGCTCGAGTAGGGGTTTTTTCTGTCGTGTTTTGTAAAGAAGCTTAAAGTGACTAAAGCCAGAGCCCGTGACCTGCATTTCTCCTTTGACAGAAGTTTTTGTCCTTTAATTCACTCCTCTGTGCAATATATTGAACAAGGTGATCACTACAGGAAGACAGTCTTGTTTTTTGTTTCATTTTTGATTTTCATACAAAATATAAATCCAGCCATCAATGGTGCATTTTAGAGATGAACAGTACTTTATCCCCCCCAAAAAACTTGGCTGTATGTACACGAGGAAAGTGGTGTTCGAAAGCAACTAGCTGTGAACGTGGGGGCATTTTAAAAACCGATTCTATATGGGAATGCTAGCAAATAGCAAAGGGAGAATAGACACTTTTAACAATTCACCCATGTAAGAAATGAAGAGAACACTAGGTAAAAACAGGCTCACAAAGCATTGTGTGGCAGTACTCGTGCTTGGCCTGTTTGCTCTGAAGCATCGTTGTAGACTAAAAAAACTCTAGCTGTTCGATTCATGCTTCCAACATTGCTTATGGAGGAAATACGAATTTATATCTGTATCCTGTGAATGGAAATCTGAATACAATTTTGGTATGATAAGAAACGCAGCCCACCTCACACTCGGAGACCCTTTTAAACTTCTGCACCAATGCCAAACTGAACCGTATTGATTGTTCCACAAAAAAGCCAATCGTTAACAGAAACTCTCATGTCTTCACTTTCTCATCTGTAAATGTACAACATGTTTACACTTAAATGCAAGTTGTTTCATTCAATACATTCTTCAAAAAAAAGAGGCAACTCGAGGTGTATCGGTCCATTATCAAGTTGTAAACCTTACAGCTGCCTTGAAAAGAAAAAGAAAGGGTTTGTGACCATCAATCCCACACCGTCCCACTTTTCAAAAACGGGGAAAATTGAGAAATGGCAATCTTCCTTTTGTTAAAAAAATATATATATAGCACTTCACCCAGTAAGTTTGAAACTGTGTCTGCGCTCACAACATAACACCATGTCATCTGGCCGTATCAACTACTACACAGACAGATTAGTGCAAAGGAAAGCCGAAAGAAACCTTAAAATAATAAAATGAGCAAATAAAAACACATTTGTTCATTGTAAGAGCATCAAATAGAAGGGGGTATTATTAATCTCAGATTTTTGTTTTTATATGCTAAATATCCCATTCAAATACACATCCCAAAACGTATTTTTATGGTGTACAGAAAAAAAAACATTCCTGCTATTTTGCCTTTTAAATGTACACAACCTTAAATATACTAATTTACATGTACTGACATTGTTTCACAGACGCAGGTGTTTTTTTTTAGCATGAAATGACATTTTTTGCATGAAATGATAGAGGCTTAGTCTTTGTTGGGTTTCTTTAAAAAGAAAGTGACAGCCTGAATTTAAGAGGGAAAATTATTCTAGCAAGGCAAAAAAAAAATTAAGTGAAAATGATGGGGAGGGGAAGATGAGACAAGTGAAGATTTGCTAAGACAGACAGAAGATGATTCAGTGCTGCCTCTTCCCCAAACATTCATTCTGAACACAAACCGAGACGGGTGATGCACGTGTGGGAGCGATGGGTCATGAAGCAGGAGGGTTTGAGGAAAACATGGCCTGATAAAGAGAACTGGGTGATCAGTTGCTTAGCAGCAGCTCTGTCGCTGTCTCCACGTCCCATGATTTTGAGGACAAGGCTACTATTACTGCATTCTGTTAGAGAGAGAGACAAAGACAGAATGGAACAGTAAAGATGACACGAACAGTTCACTGAACAATATCACACTGAAAACTGTTGAATAACAGCCGTCTTTTGCTCATTCAATACAGCTCCGTTAATCAGCACAAAGTGCTACTCCACAAATCAACTAAACTGAATCAAATAATAAATGCCAAATTTCACTGTCTTTCCAATAGTGCCTACAAAATAGTATTTTGCCAACATACTACAGTTCAAAGGTTTGGGATCAGTCTTTTTTTTTTCTTTTTCAAGGAACAAATACATTTTAATTCTGCAATGATGCATTAATCGATGCATTTACCGTCAATTTATGTTACAAAAGATTTTTATATCAAACAAACGCTGTTCATTTTAATTCCGATTCATGAAAGAATCCTGAGGTTTCCACAAAAATCCAGTTTATAAATAAAGTTATTTGAGCAGCAGATCAGCATATTAGAATGATATCTAAAAGAGCATGAAGGCTGCAAATGAAAATTAAGTTATTTTAAATTGTAATAATTTTTCACTATTACCGTTTTAACTATTTTTGATGAAAAAAAAATGCAGCCTTGGTGAGTAGAAGAGACTTCTTTTACGAACATCTTACCAACCCCAAACTTCTGAACTGTCGCGTATTTTCTAATGTGAATAACAATGTGAAAACATTTACCTAAAAATATGGTTTCCATTTCATTGTGTAATACACGAGTGAGTAAATGAGTGTGTACATCTCACGGACACTAGTCGAAGGGTCGGCAACCTTTTTGACATGAAGTGTCATTTTTATTAGATTTTTTGTAATGTATAATAGGTGTACTAGTTTACAACTTTGATGTCATGTGGTGATGACCTAAAAATGCATCTTGCACCAGGGTGAAAAATGAACACCCACCATCAGTCAAATGCTGTTGCTTTTGGGAAGTGGCTGGTAATTTTGCCACAGTGGCAGGCGACCTGTACGACATCTGATTACCCTTAAACAAAAATGTGTTGGTTTGTAAACAAAAGAAGACACAAAGTGACTAAAGTATCATTTGATTTAGATTTTAGAGTCATTTGAAAACAAACAGACAAAAGAAAACCGAATGCAAGCTCGCTTTCAGATCTGAACCAAGTTCACGTCCTACATTTTCAACAGTTTAGAATTTCTTGTTTTTGAGTTGTGTTTAATGGCGCGACAATGCATTGATATTACAGCTATTGAATAGATTTCATGCATTTGAATTGAAAAAATAAAAGTGGCTGATAAAATTTGCTATTCACAAGCCACCGTCATTGTACAGAACATTAAGGATCACATACGACAAGCTTAAAACCTCACAGACAGTGTTCAGGTAATGTGCTGAAGGCGTCCCTAAGGTTGCCAACCCCTGCATCTGGATTTTTAACCATACGATCAGCCGTCCACTTTCACTACTTACTTTGTCAAAGCCCATAGCACAGAGTTTGTCTATTTTGCGCGTGTACTCGGGACTGGACACGGGTGCACCAGCGTAAACGTGAGACCAGAGACGAGCGGTTTGTTTGAACATTTCTGGATTCTGCTTGTACTGCAAAGAACAACAACAACAGTGACTGAAAGTGTGGCGATGCTTTGTTTCTGGCATGTTCTCATTCAGACAGAAGCGTGTACCTGATTGGCTACCACAGCGTCTTGAGGATCATCTGGCTCTGCTGCAGCTAAAAGAGCCTGTAGTGAGAGCAGAACTGTTCGCAGAGTCATAGCAGCGGCCCTGTGCACAGGAGGTGAAGACAGAATAAGGAGGAAATGAAGGAAGGGAACACATACAAGAACCAAAGTATGGCCAAAGAAATGCGTTCTTTGCTTGATGACAACAGACTACACTTGTCATGCTCGTTAATTATCAGCACTCACCACTGGTCTTTTAAAATGTCCAAACATATCGCCCCGGTAACTGAACTTATATTGGGATGCCAGATCTTAGTAATAAACCGCACCTGAAAAAGATAGATCTTTCAAATCAAGTCAACATTAAATCATAATTGATCGTATTTGCTTTATTGCACATGATTTATCAGCGCACACAGAGCTTGAATTGAGGGGGGGTTGGGGTGAGTTTAATTCAAATGAAATTAAACTCTTGTATGAAACAAAAATGTGACCCTGGAGCACAAAAGCAGTGTTAAGTCGCTGGGGGATATTTGTAGCAATAGCCAACAATACATTGTATGGGTCAAAATGATAGATTTTTCTTTTATGCCAAAAATCATTAGGATATTAAGTAAAGATCATGTTCCATGAAGATATTTTGTAAATTTCCTACTGTAAATATATCAAAACGTAATTTTTGATTAGTAATATGTATTGCTAAGAACTTCATTTGGACAACTTTAAAGATGATTTTCTCAATATTTTGATTTTTTTGCATCCTCAGATTCCAGATTTTCAAATAGTTGTATCTCAGCCAAATATTGTCCTATTCTAACAAACCATACATCAATGGAAAGCTTATTTATTCAGCTTTCAGATGATGTATAAATCTCAATTTCAAAAAATCGACCCTTATGACTGGTTTTGTGGTCCAGGGTCACATTTACACCATTACAGAAGTTTCTATGCTGTTATTTTAAACGTATTATTCATCAGAGAATCCTGAAAAAGAATGTATTGCAGTTTCCACAAAAATGAAAAAAATGTGTTCAATCCAGCAGGGGAATTCAACAATTCTCTACCCTCTACAACTTTCAAATGGTGCACAAGAACACACTAACAATTTAGTAAGTGTAAGTTCTTGAGGTTTAGTTAACATGGTTGTGCGTCTGAGCAACTGGTTCCATTACGCTAAGCAAGAGCCACTATTAACAACCCATGATAGCCATTATCAAGCTTTCTTATTGAAAATCCTGTTTTATTTAGAAATACATCAGAGGTGCGTTTCCATGGTTATGAATAGAGTTCAAGGGAACTTATGACCATAGGTAGCTAATGATGCTTTTGGGGAACGCACCCCAGGTTCATTTAACTTTAAATATTAACCACGAGAACTGATAATAAAACATCAAACACTAAAAACGGGTTACCTTGGGTGGGTTAAAAGGATACGTCTCAGGAATCTTGATTTCTAGCTGGTATCTGCCGCCTGTGGGGGATAAAATAAGCTTGTGAATCACAATCTAAACCACAACATTCATGCATTAGCAAACATTGTGTCAACAATAGAGAATACTGATGAAAATATCCTCACTACCTTCATACGGTGTGTCTGGTGGTCCTGCTATTTCTCCCTTTAACTCGGTGAAGTTTTCATCCACCAGATCTACTTTTATTTGATTTTTACTTGTCTGTTATAAAACAGAACAAAAATAGAAACATTAATATTATGCAATATTAATATTGCATAAAAGATTGCATTTTATGCATTTGATATAACTGGGATCAGGACAAAAGCAAGAAAAGTGAGACAGTTAAATCGTGAGACAATGAGCAGCCTAGGTAGACAGCATGAAAGGTGCTGAACGTGTCCAGGTAGACAGCATGAAAGGTGCTGAACACGTCCAGGTAGACTGCATGAAAGGTGCTGAACACGTCCAGGTAGACGGCATGAAAGGTGCTGAACACGTCCAGGTAGACTGCATGAAAGGTGCTGAACACGTCCAGGTAGACTGCATGAAAGGTGCTGAACACGTCCAGGTAGACTGCATGAAAGGTGCTGAACACGTCCAGGTAGACAGCATCATGTCCAGGTAGACAGCATGAAAGGTGCTGAACATGTCCAGGTAAACAGCTCAATAGGTTTTGAAACATCCACACTACTGAAAACTACTTAAACAGCATAGCAGTGCTGCTAACTGACAATAACACATCAAACACGACATTTAAAAAAGAAACGTACGTTAATAGGCGACAAACACGAGTGCTAGTATTAGAACAACACTATAAAGAAGCGCTAGTGAAGCTAGCTATGTCAAATAGCACGTTAGCTTCCCGGCTAAAGAACGGCGAGTGCAAGTCAAAAATCTTAAATGGTTTTCACATTTCGGTCAACATTAAAGCAAGCAGATTTGTCAGCTGTATGGCTTCCGTCTACAGGCCATCATATGACAGCTCGTGCTAACATTAGCTTAGCGGGCTAAGCTAGCCGACTGGCTTCTGGATGTTTGTCCTCTTGTTTGCTCTCGACGGGCACACAAACACAGTGAAGTAACGTTTTGCAAACCTCTTCGCTTTTCAGCACTTCTTTGAACTCTCGCTTGATCCTCTGCACAGCGATATTTGCCATGGCTGATCTCTCTCTCTCTCTCTCTCTCTCTCTCTCTCTCTCTCTCTCTCTCTTTTCTATTTGAGAGCTTTTTTTTGGC